TTGGCCAAACCGGGAAAGTGGGGTGAGAGCTGCCCAGCATTCTCCTCTCCTCTGCTTCCAAATGGCTGTCATTCAAAGGGCAAGGGAAGACAATACCCAGAGCTCTTTTGCTGGTCAGAGATTCCCTGAGTGTCATGTCTGTCCCTACCCCAGCCTGCTCCGTGTGACTGTGTCATAAAGTTTGGGACTGTGATACGAAATGAGGAAGCAGGGATAGGTAAATGTCGTCCTAAGAAGGAGTCCCATTCTTCTGTTCTTGTGGGGATCTGTTCTTGGGGAGGGTGGGATTGGGGGAAGCTTGACTTTGTGTCTTCATCAATAAGCTGATTTACACACACAGAGACACACACACACACACACACACACACACCTCTTTTCAGTCAAGGGAAAGACCAAGGAAGAAAGGAAAAAGCTTTCTCCAGCATTTAAACAAGGAACCTGGCCCAGCACAGTAGCTCATGCCTGTAATCCCAGCACTTTGGGAGGCCGAGGCAGGCCGATCACTTGAGTCCAGAAGTATGAGAACATCCTGGGCAACATGGCGCCATCCTGTCTCTACAAAAAATATAAAAATTAGCCGGGCATGATGGTGTGAGCCTGATAGTGTATGCCTGATGGTGTGAGCCTGATGGTGCTAAGCCTGACGGTGTGAGCCTGATGTTGTGAGCCCGATGGTGTGTGCCTGATGGTGTGAGCCTGTAGCCCCAGCTACTTGCAGGACCTGAGCCCAGGAAGTTGAGGCTGTAGTGAGTCGTGATCATGCTACTGCACTACAGCCTGAGTGACAGAGGAAGACCCTATCTTAAAAAAAAAAAAAAAAATTATGTGTAATTTTAAAGAATTAGGCCAGGGTGGTGGCTTGTGCCTATAATCCCAGCACTTCACTTGGGAGGCTGAAGTGGGCAGATCACAAGTTCAGGAGTTCAAGACCAGCCTGGCCAATATGGTAAAACCCCATCTCTACTAAAAATACAAAAATTAGCTGGTTGTGGTGGCACACACCTGTAGCCCCAGCTACTCAGGAGGCTGAGACAGGAGAATCACTTGAACTTGGGAGGCAGAGGTTGCAGTGAGCTGAGATCGTGCCACTGCACTCCATCCTGAGTGACAGAGTGACACTCTGTCTCAAAAATAAATAAATGAAATACAAAGGTTTTTAAAAATGCCCATCAATGATAGACTGGACCAAGAAAACGTGGTACATATACACCAGGGAATACTATGCAACCATAAAAAACGATGAGTTCTTGACCTTTTTAGGGACTTGGATGAATCTGGAAACCATCATTCTCAGCAAACTGGCCCAAGAACAGAAAGCCAAGCACCGTATGTTCTCACTCATAGGAGGGTGTTGAACAATGAGAACACGTGGACTCAAGGAGAGGAGCATCACACACAGGGGACAGCTGGGGGAGGGTAGGGGAGAGACAATGGGGGGTGGGGAGGAAGGAGAGGGTGGGGAGGGATAACATGGGGAGAAATGCCAGATATAGTATGCACCTAAAGTAAAATAAATAAATTTTTTTAAAAAAAGATTGTTTCACCGGGCGCGGTGGCTCAAGCCTGTAATCCCAGCACTTTGGGAGGCTGAGGCGGGTGGATCACAAGGTCAAGAGATCGAGACTATCCTGGTCAACATGGTGAAACCCTGTCTCTACTGAAAATACAAAAAATCAGCTGGGCATGGTGGCGCGTGCCTGTAATCCCAGCTACTTAGGAGGCTGAGGCAGGAGAATTGCCTGAATCCAGGAGGCAGAGGTTGCGGTGAGCCGAGATTGCGCCATTGCATTCCAGCCTGGGTAACAAGGGCGAAACTCTGTCTCAAAAAAAAAAAAAAGATTGTTTCTCTGAAAGTAGAGGTTAGATAACCCTTTCCTGGGAGAGACTGAGACAGAATTTTTTAGATCTTGTATTGTTTCTAAATTAATCTGCATTCTGCAAAAAGCAATGAAAAGTATGTTATTTGACATTAAATTCTTCCTCTCAATAGAATGGTGATTGAATTTTGGAAAACTAGTTCTACTAGCTGGACTATGACGTAGTAACTGGCTCATGACATGTGCTTACAGTGTAAGCAACTATAAAACTGTACAAAAGTTATTAGAGACTATGTGGGGGCATCGTAAAACAGGCAGTGCAGAATTGTGATCTTTGACAGAATAAAATCCCATGAGATTAAAAAAAAAAAAAAGAGGCCCACATTTTCATTTTGTAGTGGGTACTACAAATTATGTAGCCAGTCTTTACACCAATTAAATATTGAAGGAGTGGAGAGGAGAAACAGCGGAACGGGATTCTCACCTTAACTCTTAGATGGCAACTATTCTTCCAATTGCCGAAACTCATGGACTCATCGCTGATGCCTCTTTATCTCTCACGCTCAACATTCAATCCACCAGGAACTGCTGCTGGCTCTGCCAAAATAAATTGCAGCTCCTGTTTTCTCACCTACTCTACTGCATTGCCCTGTCTTCTGCCACCCCGCGTCCATTCTCACCTATATCGTTGAAACAACTCCTCTCATCCCTGCTCCTGCCCATTGTGTTCTATGGTACAGTCTCAACACATCAGTGGGAACAATCCTTTCACATTGCATGTCAGATCATTGTCACTCCTTCTTAGTATCCTGCATTGAAGCAGGATATTTCCCTGACCCCTTTGCGGGCAGGAACTGGAGTGTGGGCGCTGGAACTAGCCAGCCACTTCGGCATTAGTTCAGTGGGCAGGGGCAAACTCCACTCGCTAAGACTCACTGCACTCCTCACTCATGGGATGGGGTGCATTCAGGTGAGCAGATACAGGAGCCGGGGTGAGTGCTTTTGGACACCAGCAGGAACAAACTCTATACTCACCCCACAGCAGCATCTGGCGGGGGTGCCCGCAACCCCTGAAGCCCCAGAGGAAGTGTTACGGTACTCCTTTAGCTCTGCTGTCCATGGATGGCTCAAGTGTCAACAGCCCAGTGGAGGGTCAGTGTGACAGACTTTGGCACCCACCCTTGTGGCACACCAGTTTTTGTCTGGTGTCCAGGAGGAAAGAGGTCGCTTGACCCAATCTGAAGGATGGTAAATGAGGGGGGTTTTATTGACAACGGAGGTGGCTTTCAGCAGGTTGGGGAGTTGAAAAGGGGACAGGGTGGGAATGCAATCCTCCCCCGAAGCTACACCATCAAACTGTCCCTCTGAAGTCAAGAGACTTCTCTCTGACATCCAGGCATAGTCTCTGATGTCTACCTGCTTCTCCTCTCTCTATGGGCTGAGACGGGTTTTTTTAAATGGGCACAGGATTGGGGGTGGGGCGGGCCATGGCTGATTTTGGAAAAGGCAACATTCAAGTGGGAAAACAGGGATGTAAGTTCTCACTTTAGGCCGTGGTATCAGGCTTTTCGGCTTGAGGGTGGGGCCCTTGCCAGGGACGAGCCGTCTTCTGGCCAGAATTTCCCTGCCTCCTGTCCGTATCGCAATGTCTCCAAAGTACAAATTCTGTTGCTTTAAACATTTTGAGTGCATTTTAATTAAGTTTACCACAAAGAAACCTGGCAAACACTACCTTACCCAAGTGAGGAAGGCTCACGTCACCAGGGATGATGTAGGGCCCTCGGGTACACCTGATACATTGTGATGAGAAGGCATCTCACCTCCAGGGTATGCCCTCCAAAACCCACAACCTCGGTGCCATCAAGACAAAAACATCAGGCAAGATTGAGGGACATTCTACAGGACACCAGGCCAGTACTTCTGAAGACTGTCAAAGTCATTAAAAATAAGAAAAAACTGAGCATAAAAAATGAAAAAAAAAAAAAAAAAACAGACCACCGGAGACTGGGGAGACCTAGCAACTAAATGAAATGTAGTGGCTTGGATTGGATCCTAGAATAGAAAGAGGGGGAATGGAAAAACGGGCGAAATCCAAACAAAATCTGGAGTCTAGTTAATATGTGCTTTTTTTTTTTCTTTTTCTTTTTTTTTTTTTTTTTGTTGAGACAGAGTTTGCTCTTGTTACCCAGGCTGGAGTGCAATGGCGTGATGTCGGCTCACCACAACCTCCGCCTCCTGGGTTCAGGCAATTCTCCTGCCTCAGCCTCCCGAGTAGCTGGGATTACAGGCACGTGCCACCATGCCCAGCTAATTTTTTGTATTTTTGGTAGAGACGGGGTTTCACCATGTTGACCAGCATGGTCTCGATCCCTTGACCTCGTGATCCACCCGCCTCGGCCTCCCAAAGTGCTGGGATTACAGGCGTGAGCCACTGCGCCTGGCCCAATATGTGCTTTTAAAGCACTTACAAATGCTTCTTGACCTGCCATGGTATTATGTCCTGATAAATCCAACATAAAGTGGAAAATTTTAAGTCAAATCATCTTAAGTCGGAAACCACCTGTATTTTATTTTATTGAGTTTATTCTTTACTTTTTTCTTTCTTTTTTTTTTTTTTTAGAGGTTTATTCTGAGCCAAGAGTTCATTCTTTAAATCAAGAATATGATGTTAGCTGACTGAGGTGGCTCACTCCTGTAATCCCAGCACTTTGGGAGGCCAAGGTGGGCGGATCACGAGATCAGGAAATCAAGACCATCCTGGCCAACATGGTGAAACTAAAATACAAAAAAATTAGCCAAGTGTGATGCCGTTTACCTGTAGTCCCAGCTACTCAGGAGGCTGAGGCCGGGGAATCGCTTGAACCCAGGAGGAGAAGGTTGCAGTGAGCCAAGACTGCACCACTGCACTCTAGCCTGGCAACAGAGCAAGACTCTTGTCTCAAAAAAAAGAGAATAGTTTTTGAGCCAGGCGTGGTGGATTATGGCTGTAATCCTAGCGCTTTGGGAGGCCGAGGTGGGTGGATACCTTGAGCCCAGGAGTTCGATACCAGCCTGGGCAACATGGGGAGCCCCTCATCTATTTTTAAAAATAGGTTTTTAGTTTTGTCAAAGGCTTCTGAAGATAGTTATATGACTTTTTTATTCCGAGGTACATTTGTATGTGAATTATGTATATCTTGTTTGTGTCAGATGGATAATGTGCTGATGTTGTGACAAGGTTTAAGGGAGGTACATCTCACACGTGCGCTTGAACCCTCAACCATCACGCTTATGAGCTACAAAAGGACCTACTATGTGAATGATATTGATGGTTTTCCAGTGTTGAATAATGCTTGAATTTGGGGAATAAACCCCATTTCACCACAAGAAAAAGTGAATCTGCTAAAAGCTAAAGTCCTTAAATGGCCTTCAAAGCTTTCCTCTGTCTCCCCGCCTCAGCCTCTACCCCCGTCTCACCTCGTGACCCCTCTGGATCTGTTTGCTAGGGCCGCCATAACAAAATACCACAAACTGCAGCTTGAACAACAGAAGTTTCTTAGCTCATAGTTTTGGAGACCAGAAGTTCCAGACCAAAATGTAGCAGAGGTAGCTCCTTCCAAGGGCTAGAAGGGAGAAGCTAATCTGTTTTGTGCCTCTTCCCAGCTTTCTGTGGTTGCTGGCAATCTTTGGTGTTCCTTGACCCCTGGAAGCATCACCCTAATCTCTGCCTTCAGCTTCACGGTGCATTCTTCCTGTGTGCATCTGTCTGTGTCCAAATTTCCCCTTTTTATAAGAACTCGAGTCATATTATATTAGGGTGCCCTCTAATGACTTTATTCTAACTAATAACATCTGCAATGACCCCAATTCCAGATACAGTCACCTTTTGATGTACTGGAGGTTAGAACTTCCACGTGTGAATTTGCGGAGCGAGGACACTGTTCAACTCAGAACACTCTCTGATCATATCCTCCCACTTTGCCGCTGTGGCTCAGCTCCAGGCATACTCTGGCTGTTCACTCCCTCAGAAAGCTCTTCCTTAGCTGCTCCTGCAGGTAACTCCTTCGCCTCTTCTAAGTGTTTGCTCCAACACACCTCTTGCCGAGGCCCATGCCATCCCCCTCTCTACAGCTGCACCTCCCCCAGCCTTCCCGATGTCCCTTGCCCTGGTCAATTTAATGCATGCTTCTTTCCTCCCTGCAGTCATCCTTCCTAACATGCTATCCCATTTGCTTGTTTATTACACAGGCTATTGCTCATTGTCTCTCTCCTCCAGTGCATATAAGCTTCAGGAGGGCAGGGATCCGTGTCTATTTTGACTACTGTATCCTTGGCATTACACATCCCCTTGGCAAGTAAAGGGTGCAATAAACAGTTGTTGAAGAAGGCAACGCAAAAGAAGGAAAGGATTCTATTGTCCTATGTTTCTCTTGCCTTCAGTCTCTGGGAAATAACACTGGAGGGAAAGTTAAGCCCACTGTGGCTGTAAGAAACGACTTAGCAAAGCAGGAGACCACTAATTGTTCTGATAACACCTGAGATCAAGCAAGGTTGCTTGGGGCGGGGGATGGGGAGCGAGGATGGGTGCAGAATCTACTCTTGGAGGCCAGGGCCTGGAGTTGCAAGACCAGTCCAGGAGAGGGCAGCATTACCTTCAAATCAAACCAAGTAACTGGAGGAGCCCAAGGAAGTAACCCACGTGAAAATTCCTCTACCCCATGGAAGTGCAATTGTAAATCGGGCTAGGCACCTACGTCTAAAGCTTAATACCACCCTTTAAGGTTTGCAAACCCTTCCACATACATTCATTCTCTCCTTAAAGTCCTAGTGAGAGTGTAGCCATTGCCAGAGTATGAGCGGAATTTGCACTAAGCAATTAAACGATATCACCCATGTGGTCCCATGTTCCTCCACTTGTCACAGGCTTCAAGCACATAACAGTCCTGTCCCCGTGGTTAACCCCCATTTCCAGCCCACAGACCCTTCTTCCAGAAGGTTCTCAGCCTTTCTGTGTTTCACAGTTTTTTGGTCCTCCAGCTTGGTCTGCCATAACAAAATACCATACACCAGTGATCTAACTAGAGAAATGTGTTTCTCACGGTCCTGGAGACTAGAAGTCCCAGATCAAGGTGCCAGCGTGGTTGGGTTCTGGTGAGGCCCCTCTCCTGGCTTGCAGATGGCTGCCTTTCTCAATGTGTCCTCACATGGTGGAGAGAAAGAAAGAGAGGTCTGGTCCCTTCCTGTTCTTATGAGGACACTAATTTCACACAGGGCCCATACCCCTCATAATCCGTCACTTCTCCAAAGGCCCCACCTCCAAATCCCATCACACGGGGCGTTAGGACTTCAACGTATGAACTTGGCGAGGACACAAACATTTTGACTCCAGAGCAAGCACCATGTCACAGTTCAGCCAGAACGATTTCCTTCCCGATAACACTCCTTACCTATTCATGAGTCAAGACTAGCAAGTGCTAACCAACTTTTATCTGTCTTTGATGCAGGCTTGCTTATTTTCTCTTACATGTGGCCAGATGCACCAAGCTCTACCTGATGTGGCCCAACCTACAGAGTCAACATTCTGTCTGATGGACTCGGCTGCCAAAGTGGTATCCATGGTTGCAGAAAAAATAAACCTCACCCATGGTGACCAGGGAGGTGGAGGGTGGAGGGGTTGGAGATGGGAACTGGACAGATGGGAGACAAGTGGGAAAAAGACTTTTTGTGAACAGCTTTTAATTGTTTTTTTTTAATTTTTGAAACGTGACATAGTTCCCATTACACATTTTCAATGTTTAAAAAAAAAGTGTTTAGCCGGGCGCGGTGGCTCAAGCCTGTAATCCCAGCACTTTGGGAGGCCGAGGCGGGTGGATCACGAGGTCAAGAGATCGAGACCATCCTGGTCAACATGGTGAAACCCCGTCTCTACTAAAAATACAAAAATTAGCTGGGCATGGTGGCGTGTGCCTGTAATCCCAGCTACTCAGGAGGCTGAGGCAGGAGAATTGCCTGAGCCCAGGAGGCGGAGGTTGCGGTGAGCCGAGATCGCGCCATTGCACTCCAGCCTGGGTAACAAGAGCGAAACTCCGTCTCAAAAAAAAAGTGTTTAAATGTTAAACAGTCCTAACTCAGCCGTGGTGGTGGGAGGCCTGGGGTGCAGCCGCGAAGCCTGCTGTGAGCTCTGGTACATGTGGTTGTATGTCTTCCGGCTGCTCTGCCTCAACTTCCATCCAGAGAGCCCAGGAAGCCTTCGATTTCAATTCCAGGGAGCGTCTTTCTGCGTCCTGGGCTTAGAGACCTGTGATTCTCTTTATTCCCTCTGCTCCAGACTCTCCAAATCAGCCCACCCTGGGCTCTCTTGGCCCCTGTGTCTTTCCTGTCACAGCTTTGTCAACTGCCTCCATTCGTTGCCTCCCCTTAGCCCTTCCTGTCCTTATGGTTTCTAAATGCAATTCTAATAGCTTCACAAATGTGCTCCTCCACTTTCCTAGGCACCGAGGAAACCTTGCCCCATGACTTTCATTTCACGCTCACAGTGAATTCTAATTGACTTTCACTGACCACTGGAACCCACCTACTTGCCCTGAGAACATTCCCGTTGTCTTTCAGTTAAAATAAGACCCTTGATTTAGGGCCGGGCACAGTGGCTCATACCTGTAATCCTAGCACTTTGCGAGGCTGAGGCAAGTGGATCACCTGAGGTCAGGAGCTCAAGACCAGCCTGACCAATATTTCAAAATCCCGTCTCTACTAAAAATACAAAACTTAGCCAGGGATGGTGGCGCATGCCTGTAGTCCCAGCTACTCAGGAGGCTGAGGAAGGAGAATCATTTGAACCTGGGAGTTGGAGGTTGCAGTGAGCAGAGATCACACCACTGCACTCCAGCCTGCATAACAGGAGTGAGACTCCATCTCAAAAAAAAAAAAAAAGATCCTGGATTTATACTTTAATATACATATATCCAGGCTGGGCACAGTGGCTCATCCCTATAATCCCAGCACTTTAGGAGGTCAAGGCAGGAGGATCCTTTGAGCCCAGGAATTCAAGACCAGCCTGGGCAACATAGTGGAACCTCATATCTCTATAAAGCAATTTTAAAAATTAGCCAGGTGTAGGGGAGCACACCTGTGGTCCCAGCTACTCAGGAGGCTGGGGTGGGAGGATTGCTGGAGCCCAGGAGGTCTCTGTGCAGTGAGCCATGATCACACCACCACTGCGCTCCAGCCTAAGCAACAGACCGGACCTCGTCTCAAAAAATAATTTTACATTTACACATATATATCCAGATTCCTGGTGAAATTACCTCTCCCTGTTCCAATGCCACACATCTGGTTCAGCCTGCAGATGGGTTTCTTTGACTGCATGGGATTGGTTTCTTTGTTTAAATTAGAATTGGTTTCTAGCTTTTAAAACTTGAGGCTTTTTCACATTTAAAAACATCTGGACTCACACACCTTTTTTAACATTTTGAAGATCTAGGCTGGGCACCGTGGCTCACACCTCCTAGCACTTTGGGAGGTTGAGGCGGGTGGATCATCTGAAGTCAGAGGTTCAAGACTCAACCTAGTAAAACCCCATCTCTACTAAAAACACAAAAATTAGTTGGGCGTGATGGCAATTCTTCTACCTCAGCCTCCCAAGTAGCTGGGATGACAGGTACGTACCACCATGCCTGGCTAATTTTTGTATTTTTAGTAGAGATGGGGTTTCCCATGTTGGCCAGGCTGGTCTCAAACTTCTGACCTCAGGTGATCCACCCACCTTGACCTCCCAAAGTGCTGGAATTACAGGTGTGAGCCACCACACCCAGCTGTGATCTTGGAAAAATTAATTCTCCTCTGAGACTCAGTTTCCTCATCTGCAGAACGAAGTGAGATAGTGAATGCAAAGTTTCTGGCACACAGTCGGCACCAGATATATGTTAACTATTATTACACAGTTTAACATATTGACTTTGTAAATGCACACAGATAAAGTGATGACTGATTTTCACAGTAAGAAACTCCCGAGAGTTTAGACTCACAGACTAAGGATGGGAATCCTATTTTCCTAAAAATTGCCCTATTTGCCTTCACCACATTTCCTCTCACATAGAAGAAGCTACCTTTATTCAATGCTGTTTAACAAGTAACCCACTACTACAATACTAGGTGTACCTGTGGCTAAGCACAGTCTCTGCAACAGCGGAGCCAAGCGGGTAACTGCAATAATAAATATATGTTTAAGCTGCAGTGGCAGCAAGGAACGCTTCCAGAAAGAGGCAACACTTGAGCTGGGTCTTGCAGGATGAATAGGGGTTTCCCAGAT